ATTGGAGCTGTGCAGGTATTTCTGATGTCTACCTGCACCTAACTGTACTGGTCCATGTACTGGGTATATGCACCTTAGTGCAGGTAAAACTGGATCTGTGCAGGTATTTCTGATGTCTACCTGCACCTACTCTCATGTCCCTAATAAACATACCCCCCGGAATAAACATACCCTCCGGAATAAACGTACCCCCCGGAAAATGACCAAATTGACAGGTGAACTGTGTGTCCATGATACTAAAATGTGCTCTTTATTTCAATACCAATATATGGGCAAATCTTTCACTGTTACATTTAATTAGTGAGTATATATCACTTTAATTAATGAGTATATATATATTGTACTTGTTTTGGGGAAATACAAAATCCGTAGGAGAAGCTATTGCATTTTACACTTCTGAAATGCACTTTGTTAAGCCTTCTCCTGCAACTTGAGTTGAAAATCTGACTAACTTAAGAGATAGAAAATCAAGCCCAATTAAGTACAAATATAGGGGTTTAATGAGTATGTGTACAACAAAATCCATTTCAACATAATAATTATTTGGTATGGTACATTGTCTAGTCTGGTCAAAGTCTGGATTCTGAAGAAGAAAAACTTCTGAAGAAAAAACTTTTGAAGAAAAAAATATATTCAGCATAAAATTTTGATTGGTTTCCATCTCATTGTTTTTTTAAAAATCGATAATGTGATTGTATCAATTTTAAACGCCCTAAAATTAGCTAAATCGGCGCTTTTACGGTGATTGCGCAATATGGGTGCCCTATGACCTTTGACTTTTTACGGGTCATGCTGCTCAGGCGCTAGGCGCCCTCCCCACGTCGGCCGTCCGTCTTGTGGGCAAATTTCTACTTTTTTAGGGGTTTCGGGACCTAAAAACTAACACCAGACATTGCCAGAGGGAAAATAAACCACATACGTTTTTTTCATGGTAAATATCGCTAAAATGGACCAGGCATTTTTCTGCCGCGTTGCCGATTTTGACAAGGACTTGCGGCCGCCATGTGCTAAATACGTCGATTAGCTACTCGCCTTCCCCTTCGGTTTTGTGGGCAAATTTTTGCTTTTTCAGACGTTTTGGGACTTAAAAATGGACAGCAGGTGAAAAATAAATAATGTACATTATATTCATGGGAAATGCCGCTATCATGGACCAAATATTTATCTGTGACGTGTTGCCGAATTTTGCGGCCGCCGGCCACTTGCTGATGGTGCGGTACTTATGGACAATTTTTTTCCCCAAAATTAATAAACGTACCGTCCCTAATAAGAGTGTACCGGGTGGACGTTCGGGCCGAAAAAAATAAACGTACCGGTACGTTTAATCGGGACATCAGAGTACTTGTATTTACTATGGCAATCCAAATTTATTTATTTATTTATTTATCAAATTAAATCTAACTGTCCCTCACTGTAAGTTTCGGTAGAAAAAACTATCACCCCCAGGGTCGAATTTCTTACCTGCCAACAGATGAGCCTGATTTGCTTGCTGCCTCCACGGGGGTGGGTTTTTTGGATGGAACAGCCATGGGGCTGCTACAGGCTGAGGAAGCAGCAGAGCCCAGTACTGCACGTTGGGCCATCATGATGGGAACATTACTGTAGAACACACAAGTTTAGACTATGGTTACAAGTTACACAAAAACTTCCACAAGTCTTTCCATCATTTCATGGAAATTTTCAGCTCATGGCGGACAAACATTTGGCCCAATCTGTCATCTTCTAATGACCAATCTAAAAATTGGCATGTAAAGATATAGAAAGAGATGTCATTAAACTAAGCTTAGAACACACAAGTTTAGAGAATGGTTACAAGATACACAAAATCTTGTCCACAAGTTAGAGGATGAATATACATAGATGAAACTATGAGACCACAGTAGCTCACAAAGCAAGCAAAACTTATTTCCCCTAGGAAGATCATCACACTGGATGTGGAAGGCCCAAATCCATGAGGTTGACCAAGGAAAAGATGGATTGACAACATAACGGAGGATTTCCACCACCTTAACTTACAAAGCGGCAACCCACAGGACAGAGGCAAATGGCAGGCTGCCATCAAGCCTCAGCATCAGTGTGAAAGCGTGTCTAACCCTCAGAAGATGGGAAACAACAGATGTTAAACCAGATACACACTTTACGACCACCTACCCATTGGTATGTCTCTCCCCTGAAAAAGGGCTGTCGTCCCCCACAGTGAAGGGAACAGTGGTACCATCCAGCACACAGCTGCTCATGCTACTGATGGAGCTCATGGACCCAGAACTGTCCCTGTGTCTCCTGGCAGGGCTGGAGCCATCCTCAATACCTGTACAACAGACAACAGATATGTGTTACCCTGTACAACAGACGTGTTACCCTGTACAACAGTCATGGAGCCATCCTCTATCCCTGTACAACAGACAACAGACGTGTCACCCTGTACAACAGATGTGTTACCCTGTACAACAGTCATGGACCCAGAACTGTCCCGATGTCTCCTTGCAGGGCTGGAGCCGTCCTCTATCCCTGTACAACAGACAACAGACGTTTGTTACCCTGTATAACAGACATGGACCCAGAACTGTCCCTATTTCCAGCTCTGATTTCTCCTGGCAGGGCTGGAGCCATCCTCTATCCCTGTACAACAGACAACAGACGTGTGTCATCCCGTACAACAGACAACAGATATGTTTTACCCTATACAACAGAATATGTCACCCTGTACAACACTCATGGAGCCAGAACTGTCCCGATGTCTCCTGGCAGGGCTGGAGCCATCCTCTATCCCTGTACAACAGACAACAGACATGTGTTACCCTGTACGGCAGACATGTTACCCTGTACAACGGTCATATAGCCAGAACTGTCCCGATGTCTCCTGGCAGGGCTGGAGCCATCCTCTATCCCTGTACAACAGACAACAGACATGTGTTACCCTGTACGGCAGACATGTTACCCTGTACAACAGATGTGTTAGTCCCTGTACAAGAGATATGGATCCAGAACTGTTGCAATGTCTCCTGGCAGGGCTGGAGCCGTCCTCTATCCCTGTACAATAAACAACAGATGTGTGTTACCCTGTACAACAGTCATGGAACCATCCTCAATCCCTGTACAATAAACAATAGACATCTGTCACACTATACATGAGTCAACAGGTGTGTGTCACCCTGTACAACAGACAACATTTATTCCCTGACTTTACATTTGGAAAAAAAAAGTTCAGCTCACCTATCAGGACTGTGTCATCAAACTGGGGCTCTGAGTCCGACCTTGTCGGTCTGTTTGGTTCTCTGTATGGACAGAACACAAGGTTAAGACGGATTGCTTTTTTGTATCAGAAGTAATTATAACTAGGTAGAGCAAGGTTGTAGCTTTCTCCACAGTACAGCATCTAAGCTATACACAACTGCATCTAAAAGTATACTGTATTTAAAACTACATGTTTTTGTTCCCTGAATGAAATGGTTCTCCAATCAGTGTAGAGCTGTAATTATCTGCAGTGTTACTAACCATCACACAGGTTACACTCAGTCAAAGTCACGGTAAGTTATACTCACCCTTTCACCCTGTCTATGGAGAATTCATCCCCAGTTATGTGTTTCAAAAAGTTGAAACAGAAGAAAAAGATCTGTGAGAGAAACAAAAGCATTTTAACTCCAGGTATACCTACATAACAACCACAGCTTATATACATATACCACACTGTTCACTGAAGCAAGCACCAAAAGGATCTAAGACTACCTTTTACTGCTGAACTTTTCAAGACTATTCCAAGACATTTGCAATTGCACATCAAAAGTGACCATGCCCTTAAGTACAAACAGATGTACACAGTGCAGTGTACAAGTAATGAAAGTACTAAATAATGAAACTACTATTCTTTTTGAACCCCCTTCCAGTCCCATGTTCCTATCAAGGTAACTTGTTATGCAAATTCAGTACCATTATCATTTATATCATTTGTCATATTTATTTAGTATGTTTTCTGTACTTTATTAGTCTGTTCCGTTTCTTTTATCATATTTAAACTACCCTTTGATTGTACTTATTGTTACCTTTTATTATATGTTATGTATGTCACAGGGAGCCTTCAAAAGGACCAAAATGGCCATATGCTAACCTGTATACATAAATAAAAATGAAATGAAATTGTTAGTCCTGTTACCTCTTCCCCCTTGCCCAACCTGTCCTGCAGATTGTGCCCAAACAGCTGCCAGTCGTACGCTATGGTCAGGTACAGCATCTCCAGGGCACTCAGCGACTTGTGCATCTTGCCATCCTGGAGCAAAACATGTCAGTCATTCATTTATTTCAAATGCAACAGAACATTACACTAACTTACAGGCAGCTGGGCTAATATACGTAAGTCAACAATTATACATACGGGACAACAGGTAAAGTTACATATATACACAGATCTCACAATTATACAGTTAAAAGTTAGACAAAATCCAACCCATACCTTTCAGTATATAGCAGAATGTACTGCACCTGTGGGAATTTTTCACAAAGTTCTGCTGAAGTGCTACATACAATACATTGCATGCTGGTTTTACGCAGAGGCAGAATGTTCTGCCAACTTCCTACTAGGTTACTGCGCCTGTTCTGAATGTTCTATATAAAGAAATGAGAGATATCTTACAGCCCAAAGGGACATCCTGAGTAGCGATATGTGGAGTGGTGTTCTGTCCCAGCCTGAGATACAATGTACCAACAGGCCACTGTCACCTGTAGGGACAATAAAGCAAACAGACAAACTTTTAATTTGAATATTCTAGACTGTAGCAAAATTGCACATAAATGCAGCTACTTCTTGGATGTTCTTTGTTGAACTTCAAGTCTAAGTCGATGAACCAACCATGAGTCATTGCTTTGTGATAGACGGAAGTCTAAAAACCCTTAACAACTTTAGAGAACAAGATTATCCAAACCATGCAAATTAGCACACAGTTGACAGAAGAAGATTAAAAACAAACCAGGATATTTGAGCAATAGACCAATCCCATAGCCCTGCCTACCTCCGTTGAAATGCAAAATAAAAACATAAAAATTTGACAAACATGCAGCCACTCCCTCATTGGTTGAACCACTAATTACTGTGCTATCATTGGCTGATCTGCTATTTCTGATGGACAGTTAGGGTTGGACTATTACGATTGTGAGGTAAGATGACTTCCACTCACCATGATGCAGACAGTAGAGCATTAACCTAAGGTAGTTCTGGGTCAGTTTGATCAGGTCCCAAGACTGGAATGAAGACAAAATGTCATCACGACATGTGCAATGTAGAGAAACATTTGGTGAGTGCTTATGTGATACTTATGTACTGAATTAATAAGAATTGGCTTACATGATAGTATATTGTACAAGAAGAAATTGGAGATTACATATTTCAGGGAAGTATGCAATCCTTGGCTTCCAGAATTCCCCCATGTCTGACTTCTAGTTTCTGCTGGCTCCTGGCCAGATTCTGAGGCCGTGACCTCCTGTCATTCTGCCTGTCAATCTCCCCCTTCCCTCCCACATGCTGTCAACCTGCTCTGTCCAGACAAACAGAGCACAAACCCACAGCTCAGCCATCCAAAACATTTCTTTCATACTCGGAAGTACAGTAATAAATCATCTGTAAACGTACCCTGTATCTGTCCCAGTCGATTCCCAGGCACCGTGACTTCTCTATAAGGGACTGGGGAACCTGCAGGTCTGCATCTACATAACCCTGGGGTTCAAACAGGTAAAGTTAGAAGCAAGTTTAAACTGTAATTACAAATACAAGAAATTAGACTTGCATGTACAACTCCAGTCTTTGTCAAGGAATGAACAATCTACCACTTCCGTGACATAACCTTAAGCAGATGACACACGTGACATGGTGAGTAGTGGATCATAGAGGAACTTTGAAGTCACATTTAGGTTATAGATATTTATCTCAACCTGACAAACAGAAAGTTGCAAAGCAGTTTGCTGGACATTTGAATGTACATGTATTACTAAATTGTGTACCTGATTCCACTCAAACACAAGCCCCTCTGCAACGTAGTCATTGTCTCTGTAGTCCTTGAAGAACTCACAGCCTGAAAAACAAAAGAACAAAAGTGTCAACAGCTGATACCATATTGTGGTATGTTCACTTACTTATCTTCTTCATCCCTGGTAAGACACAGGACCAGTGACTGATGCAATTTTACATTTTAGGTTAAAAGGACAACATTGAATCTACCAGCCTTCTCTGTTATATTAGCAAGATGAAGAGACAAGATGACACAAAGACATACCTGGATAGGGCACGGATATCAAGGTGAAGTCTGCATATCTGTGTTCCTTGTCCACTTTTTCTGAAGATGTAACCCTTAAGAGAAAGAGAAAAATAACCAATTAATCAGTCCCAACAATAAGTATTGGAAGACTCAGCCCATCCCTCTCCTTTCAAGGCCTTACCAAAGACTGGCATGCATTTTACACCTGGGTGGAGTGAGGAAAGTCACGTTAAGTGCCTTTCCCAAGGACACGATGTTTAGCCAATAAGCAATTAACTCATGACCTCTCGGTCTCTTGTCCACTAGCCTAACCATTTGGCCCTTTGATACTATCATTAGTACTTTTATTCAAACCCATGCACATGGATTGGAGGAAGGTAAATATGGGGCCTTACTGCATGCTAAACTTGACCTTCTTGTTCTCCACCATCAGGAAAAGATGTTAAAGTTTCTTTGAAACTGCTTTTCCCATAGACACAATGTCTAGCCAAGAATCAAACTCATCACCTCTCGGTCTCTTGTCCAATAGCCTAACCATTTTGCCCTTTGATACCACCAATTGTACTCATATTCAAATCCATGCACAGCATATATTCAAATCCATGCCCATGGAAGAAGGTAAATATGTAGCCTTACTGCATGCCGAACTTGACCTTCTTGTTCTCCACCATCAGGTCCACGATGGTTCCGATGTTCAGGGCCTTCAGTAGCCGGATGTCCTGCATACGGATACTGTCCACCAACTGCCATTCACTAGTAAACAAACAAACAAACAAACAAAAACAGGTGTCACTTTGAACTTTGAGATGGAATAGCCTTACCCACGAGTCCACCTTGACTACCACACCAGACAGTGCTCATCTGCTTGGAGTGCTCTAGCTTAGATGAAATGAAGACACTAATGTGAATAAGAGCCTGGTAGAAACTCCCCTGAGCTATCACCACTGTCACCATCCACAGTACCCCGTGCTTAATACGGGTTTGAGTAATCTTTTCCATGTTTACCTTACAGCAGACATTGGTGGTGGGAAGAAGGCATTCCACAATAGTGGCAAACCAGAGAAAAATGACCTCTGCATAACAGCTCTGTTCCTGAAGTGTGGAGTCAAATTTTAATCAGTAGATGTGATTATAAAACACTGGTAGAAATGAATACACTTGGATTTTGCAAAGCAAAGCTAGTAATAAAGGCAATTTGTAAAGAAGATACATTGTTGAATATTTCCTGAGTATACAAGTGAAGACTGTTGGCACATACCTGTTCCCGTTGGGTACGTAAACTGACTGGTCCCGAGACACTCCATAGCTCACCATTCCGTCTTCTGTGGGGATGCTCTCTCCTCCTGAAAAGGTTGACATAGTTCTAAGTACTGTAAATTTATTAAGATTTGCAAGGACTTAATGTGGTGTTCAGAGGGGAAGTTGTTTGTGGTCCTTAACATTTGTGTTTGATACTGGAATGCAAGATGTTTGCAGTGTGATGAGTTTGCAATGAGAGGTGACCACAACACAGCCTTCTCAAAACAAGCCGGCTACCGGCGAAAATCGCCGCCTACTCAAACTTTTGCGCCGGCTACTTTGGTCAAAATTTTCAAATTTTTGCGCCGGCTACTTTCGTCTAAATTTTCAGAAAAACAAGTAAGCTCCGTTACATTTTCTCACAAACTTCACCGGCTCATTTCTTCTGACGAACTTCAGACAAATTTCTGCTAGCTTTCTGGATCTGAAAACTGCTTCTTTCTTAGCCTCCTGTGCAGATTTCTAGTGCACGAGTCAGCGTTTGCTTCTACGAGCGGCCCGCGGCCGGCCGGCCAGAGCGGCCGAAACTTTACGGGGGGAGGGTCTTGTTCGGGGCTCGAGTTGTATCCGCGGAGCTGTATCGCTCGAGCTAGGCGGAACTTGCTTCGTAAACTCGTTGCTTCGTAAACTCGAAAATTTATCAAGCCGCTACCTTCCCAACTTCTCCCGGCACTAGTAACATTCCTGCTACAAATAACTAGTACAAATCACGTCAAAAAATATCAAGACATGAAAAGAAGCGTGTTCATATCTTTCATACACAGAGACAAATTTTCAAAAACAAATCGCCATCAGCGAGATTTCACAGCTGTTTCATTCATCAAAAGTTCTTGTCGATCGTAAAATGATCACTCATCTGTTGTCTCCACTAGTGTGGCATTTGTAGCTTAATCACGGCTAGCCAAAAATCAGCGTCAAAACCCCGGAATAAAAACACGCACACTCCACATCGCTGTACAAAAACAGGAGCTTTCAGGCGCCATCTTGTCATGAATAAGTAAGTAGCAGCGTGCGATCGACGCTCTGATTGGTTCACCTCACATGACCTGCGTTCTGATTGGATAAGCGATGTGGCCAGCAGCCGGCAGCGCGGGAAGATTTTTCTTCGCCGGCAGGCTCTCGCCGGTGAAGAAGAGACACATTTACGCTGCTTTCTACGTTTTTTCTACGACTACTAAGCAACATCCTATTAAAGAAATACATAATTAAAAGAATTTTCGGGAAGATGTATATTTATCTACGCCGATTTTTGGCCATTTTCTCGTAATTTTCTTGTTCAAGGAACCCGGAAGTCAGTGTACCGGGACGCGGGGTGAATTTCCATAGGGCATTTATGGATCGCTCCCCGCTGGAATTAAACCGTCAAAACAGAAACAAAACTTCCAAAAAGCGAAACTGTGACATTTTTTCACATCCCAATGATTATGTTTTCGATCAAATTGACATTTAAATATGCTTTCTTCATTTTTGCATTTTGTGGCCGGGCGCAAGGACCGCGCGTAATACGATCGGAGTGGCAAACAATTTTAATACAGCCTTTTTCCGGAATTATTTGTGCACGAACAGTAAATTTTGGAGCCACAAGATTGCCATAAAAGCTGCTCAGAATGTACCAAAAACAATGTTTAGGGGTCTAATTTTTACGATTTCCTCCGGGGAGGCCCCCGGACACCCCCAACGGGAGGGGGGCCACCCCCTCCCGTACCCTCCCCCTGCGAGCCGCTGCGCGGCTCGCTTCGAGCCACTTCGTGGCTCGCCTGCTACTTTTTCTTATCAGCCACCTACTCTAATTTTTTTTGAGAAGGCTGCAACAAAACAAACATAGAGTATAGTAGTAAGACACCAAACTACTGCAAATACTCAACAAGTTACAGTAGCTACCTGAGAAGAGAAAGTCCAGACCCGACCTGCCGTACACCTCTGCACCGCTGGCAAGGGTCGCTGACCTGCAGATATGCTACAACAAACATAAAGGTCCTTGGGTTAAAGGACAAGGGAAATCACAGTAGTAAGTTGCAAGTTTCATGTTAATGTATTGAAGTACAAAATGTGATGTTTGAATGATTTGGGCAAAGGTACAATGCTGTAGAAATCTTTATCATTGTATCATGATCAAGAATCTTTGGCCCTTTCAAGATCACTAGAGAAAAGTTTTTAACATTTTAATTATGAAACAGTGGAAATCATATGCTAACAAAAAGGCTCTTACCTTGCCTTCATACAGCATGACTGGTACCACAAACCTGGACCTGCACCGCGCCAGCCTGGCCTTGGTGAACAGGTCATGCATCGTGCCAAGGTCGTACAAGGAACCCACTTTGGTACTGGGAAATAGTATTAGAGATACATGTAACGTACTTCACACCAACATACAAGGTATGGACAGGACATTCTCTCATTAGCTTATATCACATTCACATACAATTTCACACAGAGACAAATTTGCTGGATACAGATGTTTATAAGAATTGGAACAGAAGTTGTATCCTATCCCTTTAGCAGCTAGTGAAACTTAAAACTTCAATTCACAGTAGGTTTGTGTCCCACAATTGATACAGTGGTGCTATTACAGGACCTTGTATTTTACTGAGCCTGAACATTAAATGTCTTCTGTTATCTTACCACCACCTCATGAGAGGATTCTACACTGTATGAATGTTGACCTACTTCCTGGTGGCATCATCCACTTCATACTCCAGCAAGACCAGCTTGGCTGGATAGTGTCCACACAGCTCCCCACCACTGTTATCTATGGTCTGTGGAATAAGGCAAGCAAGGAACAACATTAACCATGCCAATAACTTTGAATTAACGCTCATCTGTGTTGGTAGAATCCATAGTTATAAAGGACAAGCTTTGTTCTGTCTTTCCGCCACTTTTGATAGCAACTGGCATAATGCTTACAAGACTGTAAAGGCATAAAGAAGAGAATCACTTACAGCATACTTGTAGTCCTTTGCAAACAGATCAAGACACTTCCTGTGGATGACTTTTAGCTGCAAAATCAAATGAGATAATGTGGTTTAAGAATACATGTAGTACTAGTAGTAGCGAACACATTACACTGCAATGCCATACCAAATTCTTTCAATCTGAAACTCATCAAACATCTGCATGAAGCCCTGTACAGTATGTACGGACATTATCATTCAATATTACTAAATATTCCTCCTATAATTGTCTCCTTTGCCTGCTGGTGAATGACACATATAAAATTAAAAAGTGAAAGTATAGCTATCAGCTTTCCTCAGTACTTCCTCCTGATGATTTACAGCAGCTTCCACATGGCCTCCCACTCAATCACTAAGCTGAAACTTTCCTTTCATAATTTTGAGGCGATTACTTCCTGTTTCGTACAAGATGTTGATGAAACACAAAACTATGTCTTGAGTAATACATGTGTACTATGCAAGTCCTAGACTAATGGATATTAGTGAAACTTGGTTGAAGGTTAGGATACTGGCGTTAGACCTAAAGCCGGTTTACTGGTTATGCGAAGAAAACAAACAAACAAACGCACATGTATCTCTGAAGGCACTAACAGCAGGCTCTATAATAGTATAAAACAGGAACTTAAAAAACTTTTTTTAACTTGCAACTTACCCGCGAATTCCCCTGTGTATCCTTGGTCTTGAAGGTGTTCTTGGAGAAAAAGTCCAACAGGGAGTGGATTTCGTCGTACCGGATTTTCCCGCCATCCTCTCTACTCGCCATGAGCCTGACCCTGACAGACAGACTTGTTCAGCCTTCGGACGAGCAAAAATAACCTCTAGTAGAATGGTGTAGTTTCACAGGTATGTAAGTTCCTGTGCTGCTTTTTCAACACGCTGAGATCAGCACGCACGGGAAGAAGTTTCAGCGACTGTCCGTCCGTCCCCAAGTTCAACTGCAGTCCGTAGAAACTACTTTCACTTTCAAGTTCCAGTTTCAGCTGGCGTGAAAGTATGCCCCTCCCCCTACACTCCCATCAACACAAACACTTCCTCAAAGGGACGTAGAAACTTTTCTTAGCACAGAAAGGACACCCTCACCGCTAGAACTTGCGCATCAGACGACATCCTGAAAATTCTCCATCAAAAAGCCCGAACATGTTCTATATATAAAGAGATTTTCAGAAAAAACAATCCATGGTTACCAAAATTTCATCACACGGCAGCCATGATGTTTTTAACTCGTGGCGAACACGAGGCTGGAGGTGAAAATTTGTTACAAAGGACGTGATTGGCCAATTCGGTGCCATCAGCCAATCACGATCGACCTTACGTTTTCCGAGTAACTCTATCCCATGATGCAACGGGTGACAAAGGTTGAAGGTCAGGACGGGAGGATGACAGGTCGTCACGTGGAATGCAGCTGTGTTTGTTGACGTTTTTAGGTATTTAATGCTAACAATAGACAGATCACGTGCGAGTCACCGCGTGTAGAGAAGAGGATGAGCATCAGGCACGTTGTTGTTGCCCTGTCGGGGGGCGTAGACAGCAGTGTTGCGGCGCTGCTGCTCAAGAGGAAAGGTGGGTGATGAGCTGATCATGAGGAGATGCGTGCTCTTGCAGTATCAAAGCAGATGCAGATGTCTTGTTTTCTCTCCTTGCTTCCTCCCGAGGTATACACTATTGCAAGACTTATCCAGGTGATAGGTGTTATCCTTAAGTTCCTTCCAGGTGACAGGTTCTATTTTTCCTCAGCTCAAGCTACCAGGTGAGAGGCGTTGTCCTTATTTTTCAGGTGATGTGAGGTGTTGTCCTTATATATGGCCCCATTCCCACTGGGGTAGAATTGTCCGGATCAAACCGAATTGATTCGCTTTGGATGGATCGAGTCAGGGATCGAAGCCGGATCAAAGCGATCGAATCAATTCAGCTCGATCCGGACAATTTTATCCTAGTGGGAATGGGGCCTTCCATATATTACTCCTCAGGTTACCGAGTGACAGGTATTCCTTAATATTTTCCCCCAGGATACCAGGTGACAGGTGTGTTCATGAGGAACTGGGACACGGTAAATGAGCTGGGGGTGTGCCAGGCAGACAGGGACTGTGAAGATGCAGAATTTGTCTGCAGGAGGCTGGACATCCCCTTCCATCAGGTCAACCTGGTCAAGGACTACTGGAACGACGTCTTCAGGTACTTACTTACTTATCCTCTTCATCCCTTGCAAGACATAAGGCCAAGACTTTTCCCTTCCATCTGTGTCTGTCCTCGGCCACCTTCTTCACTGATCTCCAGGACAGTCCCATAGACGCCAGGTGATCTGACACAGTTCTTCTCCAGGTGGTTTTAGGTCTACCTCTATTTCTTTTCCCAGCAGGTCTCCAGTTTAAGGCTGTTTTGTCCTCAGGTAGTCCATGTTAAATGCCTACTGATTTCTGAGTTGAGAAGCAGTCTACTAGAACAATTGTCCACTAGTACTAGTAATTATGACCAGCTGGTGTGTTATGCCGAATGGCGGTTATACCGGCTATACTAATACAGATACAGACTTGTAGATGATATGAGTAAACTGATACTTTATGTTTTATAACTATTGTAACATTTCTTCCTAGTGAAATGCTGAAGGAGTATCAACACGGCTGGACCCCAAATCCAGACATCTTGTGCAATAAGAGGATCAAGTTTAGGACATTCTTTAATTATGTGATGGACAAATTTGAGGCAGATGCCCTGGCCACAGGCCACTATGCCAGGACTAGCATCCACGGGAACATCTGCACAGAGAACGTCCTGTCATCCATGAACATTATACCACGGAGTCACACAGAGAGTGAGTTCTGTAGTCCTGTTCTGGTACACAAGCCTATGTTGCACCTGCTTGCTACGAGGGGTGATCCAAAAGTTCTCGGCCTCTCCCAAAAAACGTGATGGCAGAAAATTTTTTCTTACACTATTTTTTAACATAGTCTCCTCTAACTTCAATGCACTTGGTCCATTGATGTTCCAGCTTTCCTTTCTCTTGTAGAAGAATATTTCGTCTGAAGCCCTTAAAAATGCCTAAATCACATCAATGACGCCATCATCACCATCAAAACGTTGACCACGTAAGTGGAACTCCAGTTTAGGAAACAGGTAGAAGGCCCATGGTGCTAGGTCAGGTGAATAGGAAGAGTGGGGTAAGACTTCAAAGCCACATTCGTTTGCTGCTGCCACTGACCCCTGTGCTGTGTGGACAGGTGCATTGACAGCACGTCAAGTCGGAGCTTTTCTCCCCTTTTCTCTGTGATTGTTGCCCTCAAATGCCGCAATTCTGGTCCACAGTACACCCCATTGATGGTTTGACCCTTTTGCAGGTAGTCAATCGTCATTACCCCCTTACTGTCCCAGAAAACAGAGGCAAAAACCTTTTTAATGGGTAAAACTCGCTTGGGATGCTGGGAACCGTTCTTCATCAATTATTTCCTGTGCTGTTTTGATTCGGGGTGAAAGTGGTGAACCCATGTCTCATATTGGGTGACAAATCGTTTGAATAAGTTGCCTTGATGGACTGAATTCGTTCCTTGAAATGCCCAGCTTGTTTAACGTGTGATGTTCAGACAACATTCTAGGCACCCATCATGCAGACAGCTTGCTCATCCCCAGGATTTCTGACAAAACATTATGAACTGTACCACAAGTCAGGCCAAAGAACCTGCTACATGTTGGACAGTCTCACATCTGTCATTTACTATCATGTGATGGATGGCCTCAACTGGATTGCCCATGGTGCTGATTTGTGGCATCCTGACATATGTTCATCTTTTGTGCTCTCCTTGACGCGCTTAGAGCTAGCAACCCAGTTCTTTGTGGTTAAATAAGAAGGTGAGTCATCACCAAGTGACTTGATCATGTCTTTATGGATTTCCCTAGGAGACATAGCTTTTTATCGATACACTTGTTCACAGCACACGCTTCTGGTGCGGCCATTTTGTGATTTTGCCCTCACCCGCCCCATTTTCACGCTGCGTCACGTGCTAATTAATGAATGTATAAATTTGCATTTTTGTGGGCAGTGATGTAAGACGTCATAGCATACAGTTATACCAAAGAATACGCGTTTGACCTCTATTTTCTAGGTGAGGCCGAGAACTTTTGGATCACCCCTCGTATAAGTGTAAATATATATTTAAGCCTAGCTACATAGCTTCTAACATATGCCATATAGTTAAGTTTGTGAGAATATTATTCTAGAATTCTATAATGCTAAAAGAACAAAAATTTTCTCATCTTCATTTTGTTTTATTCATATTCAGCTTTAGAATTTACATTGCTGCATTTCCTTCAAAATACATGTAGTTTGATAAGAGAATACAAAGTCATGGAAAACGCAATGGCAAGACAAACACTACAGAACAATACAATTTTTCTGATTTTTTTCCCCAGATGTGAAACTGTTACAAGCTCTGGACAGCTGGAAGGACCAGACATTTTTCCTGTCCCAGATCCCCCAGCAGGCCTTGCGACGGGCGCTCTTCCCGCTGGGTGAACTGACCAAACCTGTGGTGAAACAGATGGCTCAGGACGCTGGGTTCACTCATATCGCCAAGAAAAAAGAGGTGGGATGGGATACAGGAGTTTTCTTTTGCACTACCAAGATTGTCTCACCTAAGTGCTTACATTTCAGTGTCTGTCAGACACCCTCCTCAGAGCTTCTGACTGAATTTCTGCTTCTCGCTGCTATATTCTCTCCAGTCAGAAGCTCTGAGAATCTGTATCCTATACTTAACCAACCTGATGACTATTTTTTTGGAAAAAGAGGTGGGAGTTAAACTGAAAGAGTATTTTGTTTTTGTCTTTAAAAGAGGCAAAACAAATCAGTTGGCAATATGGTAGAGAAAGATAAATATGTCAACATGATGTTATTTTTTAACAAATTTTCTCAATAGAAGGCCAAAAGACCACTCCTATGCACTGAACTAAGCTGCTGGGAGGCATAGGTGATAATGCTGTTACTCTGACAGATTCTTTATCTACTAGTGTATGTTTCCTTCTTTTCACAGAGCATGGGTGTCTGCTTCATTGGCGAGAGGAATTTTCCTAACTTTTTACAAGAGGTACGAAGGATTTTATTGTCTCGAACTAAAGTCTTCCTGTTGATTTTGTTGTTTCTTCATATTTCAAGTCTCACTTTCTAACTATCTGCTCTTGTTTTTTTTTTCAGTATATAGACACAAAACCAGGCCAGTTTGTGTCAGTGTTGGATGGAAAGGTTTTAGGAGAACATAAGGGTATGTAATGTGTATATATCACACAACCAATATGTGTTCTGCCAGCATTTCACTACTTATAGGTATTAGTATTACTGTGAAGTGACCTCTCCACTGCAAATGTATAATTACTGAGTTGCTTTAGTGGCAAATTAAAAAAAACACTGTCACCTCCTACCACGATATGTATTTTGTACATTTAAAACCAGAACAAAAATAAGTGAATTTACAGTATGTAAATCCTCTTCTTGTAGGAGCCTCTTTGTACACCATAGGTCAGCGGGCAGGCCTGGGGGGAATGAAGGAGCCATGGTTTGTTGTGGACAGGGACACCAGCAACAACAACATCTTTGTGGTGAGTAGTCCAGCTGGTATCTGCTTCATCTGTTCTCTTTTTTGTCTTTAAAACATGGATCTCCAGTCTGAAAAAAGTCAAATGATCATGAAATTCAGTGAACGATCTTTAAATTCTTGGAGGGCTTGATTTTTTTTTTGGAACGGGCAAAAATTGCAGGAATATCATCCATAATATCATAAAATTAAGTCAGTGGGTCCTAACTACAGTACTGATGTGTTATATGCTGTATGTGGTTGCAGGTAGAGTATTATAACATGTACACAATGTACAGGTACATTATCGTGTGTCCTCCCTATCCGCAGTGCCCTACTACAGACCACCCAGCCCTGTACAGACAACTGATAATGACGGAGCCCGTACACTGGATAGCTGACCCTCCACGCAGGCTGTATGAGGATCAGATGTACGACTGTCTCTTCAGATTCCAACATCAGATGCCTTTAGGTGAGCTTCAGGAACACATCAGATATGTATAAAGTCTCATGTTAGATTATCAGTCTGACAAGAATAGGCAGACTTTTCAATGTTTATTTTCTCAGATATTCTTCAAACTGGTAGCCTACTGAAGCTACAAAAATAGTACTTTCTTGGTACCTAATACCATGTGAAGGTCCCCCTGGAATAACAGTGTGCACTTTTATTTTCACCAGTTAAATGCACCTTGACTTTGAGTGGCAACAACCAGGTGTGGGTATCATTGGCTGAACCAATCAGAGCGTTGACACCGGGGCAGGTAAGGGCTTCTCAGCAATGTCTAATAATTTATATATTGTGCATATGATCTTAAGTATTTTGTGTACTTTCAAAATAGGTTTTATCAACTACAAGGCTCAGAAAAAAAGTCCCATTCTGCTCTGTGCAGAGCACAGGGGTGGTGGTGCCCATCTCCATTTCTGTAGCCCTTGAGCCACACAGTTGTGCAAGCACTACAGCAAGGGGCTAGCCCAATGGTAGTGTTCTGAGAACTTACAACCACCGGGTTACAAAGCGAGCACTCTACCCGGCTTTGAGCTAAACCAAAGCAAGATTACACGTAACAATTTCTTTCCCTGTTGTGTTTTCAGTATGCAGTTTTCTACAAAGGTGATGAGTGTCTGGGAGGAGGGAAGATCATCAAACTTGGGCCGACATTATTTGACCTGCAGGGAAGAAGAACCATTAGAATAGAGGAGATAGAGAAGAGACCAGAGAAATAGTACAAGTACCATCTTTGGACAGAGACTTTGTAGATATCTTATTTTAGTACCAACAGTATATTGTTCTATATGCTGCACCCTACCAAGGTAACAGCTACACAATACAATTTCCAGGTCGAAGTGCCATTCAGGCAGTGAAAATGTAACACACTGTATAAGCGTAAGAGATAGGGGAATTCTTTTTACACAACCAAAGAGTCGAAACGTCAGCGAGGTGAGACTCTTTGGTTGTGTAAAAAGAATTCCCCTATCTCTTAAGTTTTACCAACCTGATGAAACTATTTTCGGAAGACTGTATAAGGGTGTTTGAAAGCTTGAAACTTATTCTGCAATAGTTCCCTGTTCCGCTGTGTTTTTATTAGCTTCAAGCAGTTATATTAATTGCTTTTTACCATTGTGACATTGGTATTGAATGGTTGTGCCTGCTTCCAGTACCATGCAGATTGCAGTATTTGTTGTCAGGCTGAGGTGTCTTTATTAAACTATAACAATCTAGGAAGTAACCTGCCATTCTGAGCTAGATACTAGTACAACAAACGATGGCAATGATACAAAATATGGAGATTAACGATTTGATTATTGTCGTCTACCTTTAAATGTAGCACTTTTTTTAAGATTGTGAACAGAAAGAGTATTGCAATATTTATATTATTGTTGCTGCTAAAAGGGGATACCAATGTTATAAGTGATATTGCATTTGTCAAATGCATAGAAGGAGATTTGTCATTTGTATCCCCTATACCACAAAACCATCATATCAGAAACATCAGTGAGTCCTTGTACAAATTCATATTATTGTAAACATTAACTTGAACGTACATTTGTACAATAAAAGCAGACTGTTGTTATGAAGTTGGCTTGGTTATGGGTACTCTTTGTAGAAGTTGTTGAAGAGAGTTGAGGTCAAAATGAGTATTTTTGGAGTTGATTCAGAACCTGAATGCTTTTTTCTTTCTTTCTTTTTTTGCTAGTCAGCAAAAATGAAAAAGGGCAAGTCTGAGAACCAATTGATCAAATTTAAAAAAATTGATGTGACTATAACGTTATATAACATTATAATTTGTGCCTGCGTGACATCAATTTTCAACATGGTGGCTCATTTGGATGTCTCCAGAAAAAAATCAGTTTTACTGTCACTGTAACCATAGAAAGAAAGAAAGTAACAAGGTGGTTTCTTTGAAGGCTTTTAAAACTTCGAAATCAGTGCATGCACCTGTTGTAATGTTGTAGTTTGTACTTTGATCGCTAGGTGGCGTTTCACCAAATACGCGTCCAATCAGTTTCAGATCGTGACATCATCCAACATGGCGGGCGGCTTGTCTGATGAAGAATTTCAGCGTTTGCAGGTAAGACGACGGCTTCTATAAAAGGAATAACCAGACAACATTGCAATGAAACAATGGGGTATCATATCCTAAATCCCAGGACAACAAGGGCATCTCAACTGCCGCCTCGCAAAGCTCAAGTCATCGCGTCAAATCGGGGTGATATTTCCGCCCTCCCCTCTTTTTTGCAGAGGACACGAAAATCACGCGGATGCTATCATCACGGCATATCTCCGGTCGATCGTTAAATTTTTCTTTCTCGTCCCGATCTCCTTCCGCTGGTCAGGGATCGGACATGGCAGAGTACCGCATCTGTCACGATCAGCACTAGCGCCCAGCTAATAGTAAGCTTCGTGTTCCTGGTTTAAACTTGTTGTGGACAGCTGGACTGCACGTGACGTGTGCCCCACTGTTTGTAAACAAACCAGGCCAGGCCCAGACCCGGTCAGTTAAAAATTATACGCCGTTGGCCATTTGCGGTTTCGTACTTTTGGTCGCCTTTGACAGTTTTTCTTAGGATGGAGCCAAGATTCCCTGCGACATCAGCTTGAGAGAGCAGTATAGACAAGTCAAATTGTATTAGGTGAAATATTATTTTCAATTTGCATAATTGCGAAGGAAACCCATATAGCACTGACTAATTTGAGGCTCAAATTTATTTGTTTACTGAATGGTTTCACCCTGAAGTGATATACTTATATCGGTATGTTTGGTCCTTGGTTTGGTCAAGGAGGCTCAATCACAACCTCTTTGTTTTGGTAAGCAATTTATGTTCAGGAGGCACAGTGCATTTTTGAAAGAGTCACCCAAATCTGCTGAAACAGGTACACAGACAGACAGTGTAACGTTATGTCTATAACGTTACATCAATATTATAAGGAAAATAATCAACTGCCATACTCTGCATATTTGTATATATAATTTTGTTTGTCTGAAAAGGTTCCTCAAGTGTATGACGTGATATGAGACTTCATAATTAGTCTGTGACTGGAAGAATAAAATTCTTGATCTGTTCCAGAGAAAACAGGTGGTCTGGTTGTCTAATAGCATATGGACATGTAAAACAGAGCCTATGTACGTGTAGAGTTTGAATTATATCAACTGAAGGAAATCTTGAAAAAAGTAAGGAGAAAAAGTTGTGCCATATCCCCAAAAAATTGCATATTGTCTGCCACCAAGACCGCCAGGGATAGGTATATGATTGTATATTGTTTAGCAAAAGCAACATTTCTTATGGAGTATAAAGGTGACAACCTATAGTTTCATGTTGACTATGATTTTAAATCATGTTAACTTTCTGCCTTCATCTAGACCCAGCTTCTGGAACTGAGGACCTCGAATTATCAGTTACAGGAGCAATGTCGCAGACAGGACAGAGGTTAGTGGAGTAGACCCATCCTGACTGTATGTCCATCATAATTAGCAGTTTGACCAATGATAGCTTGGCATTTAGCATGTCAACCAATGAGAGTGGCTACAGTTCATATATGTTTTATTTTGCATTTTTACATTTTGATGGAGGTCGGCGTGGCTATGGGACTGATCTATAAAAATTGTATTTTTCATGTCTGAATCATCATCATAGAAATCTATTACAACTGTACTACAGAATTGTTTTGACCACAAATTAGAAACCACTAGCCTGGGTATACTCCTGGTTAGTTTACGTCTGCTCCCACAGTCACTACAGTGGTTGGTCGGTAGCGACTGTGGGAACGGACGTAAACTACTTGTAACCAGGATGGTACCCGGGCTAAGAAACCACTATGAAGCTAAATGACATTGCTGCTTAGATTTTCTGTAATTGTGGATATTGACATGTTTGTTTGTTTGTTTACACAGAGCTTGTCAACCTGCGGAGCACCTCAGCCTCCCTGGAGAAGGAACTACAGAAGGAGAAAAGCAAGGTATGATCTGACAGGGAGATTTGTACACTACATGTCCCTTTTTTTTTAAACATCTTGGTGGACTCCATGCATGTAAGGCAGACATCAAGCACAGAGTTCTCTTAAACTTTAAGTTAAAGCAGGCAAAAAGTCATGGTTCAGTAGAACAAACTGACTGCATGTGACTACATAGCCAATGGATGATGATAATGATACGATTGTAGACTTTATAGTAAATTTATGTAGCTGAGTTCTAGACAACAAGCCAGACTGTACAGACAGGCAATTGTATACATATATTCATAAGGACCTTCTTGTACATTAAGGCAACATGTGTACTTTCTTGTGAGACGATACTAAACAGGAAGGAAAGCCATACTGAATGGAGGAAGGCTGGCAAATTGTTCTTGCATTGGCTTATCTTAACCTAAAGCTTTCTACTTTGGCTCTCTTTGGGCAGCAATGTATTTCGACAACCCTTGACCATTTTTTGTGTGTCTTGTTTCAGCCATCGTTTATGCAGAACATCGGCCAGAATATTGGAAAAAGCAAGAAAAAGGTATGTTTGAAGTAGCAGATTGCTGACATAATATGTTGCATGTGTCTAGTACATTCAAGTTCAGGTTCAGGAACATTGATGAAATGTGTGTGTTTGTGCATTGGGTTGTACACGTAATTCAATGTACATTGACAAAATGTATGTCTGTCTGGTAACAAAGCTGATGGCTGCATTTTGGGTGCTTTCCGCAAGATGTCCTATCAAACATGTATGAAACAGATACAGCCACTTTAATCTTAACGGTGCACACCCCAGTTCTTCCGCGACCGGGGTCCGCGATAGTCCGTTGTAAAAAAGTGACGAAAGGGTTTTGAGGGTCCAAGTTTGAGGTGACATTTCTTATAAACTGCCACGAAGTATCATTAAACATTAACATGGCTGAAGAGTGTAAGAAATGGTGATTTTGGGGTGAAAATTTCTTTTGGCTCCGAACCTTACTTCCGGGTATCCTTGCGCGCCAAGTGTAATCCGCCCGTTTGACCTAGTTTTCGCTCTGCGGCTTCGTAGGGGTGGATTTGCAACCCCTCGCGCCGTGGACTGTTTAGAAAATTACAGTACTAGAATTTTCTTTATAATTTACTCGGGTATAGTCAAGGCTTGGGTCTTTCTGCCAGTATCAGTCATTTCTGCCGGAAAATTTTTTTTTGCGGGATTATCCTACGCGAAAATTCGCAATTTTGGGCATTAATTTTGGAGTGAAAATAATGTTTTTTCCGTTGATTTTACCAAACTTAAAAAGGTTGAAGAAACCAAACTCAGCTTGTCTTGTAGCCCCCTTAAGCCTGTTTACCTTTAGCTTTAACTGTTACATGTATGTGGCATAGTTCAATCACGCATTTAACTTATCCTTCTTCATATTATCAATTTCTTATTGGAACAAGAAAGTTCCAGTTGTAATGATTCTAGTGAGGAAACTTACATCTCACCAGTGTAACAGTGTGGACTGCAAAGACTTGGTCCGTGGAAGTGTAAGGTAGCACAGGTAAGCTGTTGGGATGTTCGGACAGCGACGTTAGCGTCCATTCGACGTCCGAACGGCACGTTAAGATCTAAGAACAAACTTTAGAATAAAGTCAGTTTTTTCACTCATTTTTTTACATGTAGTTGAAGTCCTGGCGTGAGGACATTTTTCTTTTGCTCCGTGTTTGTCTCTCTTTCCCACTTCTTCTTCTCTTGCGAAGCGGTAAACCCACGGGAGGAAGTCAACATCACCCTCCTCCAACAACAACTCTTACAGTAGTTATGACTGTTGTTGGGCTCCCCCTTGCAGGAGCTGGAGGGACTGCAGGCAGAGAATGAAGCCCTGCAGCACCGGTTGGGGAGCCAGGAGGAGGAGTTCCGCCTGCAGAATCAGACTCTCATGGACGAGCTGACCAAGGTCACACTTTGCGACTATCTATAACAACAAAAAAGCAAAGGCCTTAAACCTCTTTGAAATATCTAGGCTTGTTGTGAATTTCTTGTTTTATCATTATAAATTTCTCACTGATTCTGTCTATGCATGTCTCACTAGTTTCCATAAGGAAACAGACATGCATATAATAGTGGATAGTGGATAACAGAAGACAGGGAATAGAATAACCTTTTCTGGGCACTTTGAACTAACTTCCTGTACTTCTCCCTGACATGCCTAGCCTGTGGGAATAGCTATCAAAGCACAAACACTGAAAACAAAACTTCGATACACAGAGACAATGAGAGATGAAATGGATCTCTGAAGCTCTATGTGAAGATTTCCCTCCATGCATATACAATGTAACAGTGCGTTGAAGACAAGGCCTAAGGAATAGGATAACCTTTTCTAGGATCTTTAAAGAACGTCCTTAGAATGTGGAAATATCTAAGAAAACACAAGCACACACAAAACAGGCAATGAGAGATGAAATGGATCTCTGAAGCACCATGTGAAGATTTTCCCCTCCATGTTTGCAGGTGGTGGCAGCCAGTGAAGACCTGGAGAAGAAGAATGCTGAGCTGAGTAAGAGGCTGGCTGGGGAGGGGGGCGGTTCTGACGGCAGCCCGGAGCTGCAGGACGAGGTGCGCAGATTACGGGCAGAGAACACTGCACTGCAGAAGAAAATAGAAGGTAGGTCGGCGGTTTGTTTATTTGATGTTTTATTAGATATCCATTAGATTAGATAACAAATCTAATCTATTCTTCCTGGATTCATAAAATATAATACAAATTAAGGCACATAACATAACGTAACATAACATAACATAACACTTGCATCCATTAGACTACAACTAGTTTATTGTTTATTGAGATTTTGAGATTACCACTTGGAAGGAGTGAAATAACAAATAAGGTCATGATCCCTACTCTAATAAATAAGTGTAGTAGGTAGCCTGGATGCCATGCGATTTGTAACAGCAACCCTGAAAAAGGCAACTGGGGTTGCTGTTACAAATTAGATGGCATCCAGGCTATGCTTGAACATGCACATTTTCACCTGTTTAATGCATCAAGTGTCTTTTCCAAGGGCTTAACATCAACAAGGTCTGCTAAGGATTCAAACCCAGAACCTCTAGATTCTTTACTTCAGTTTTAGATGCACATTGAAGGCTATTCTTGTTTCTGAAGAGTATCTTTTGCAGCGTAAGTACATGTTACGTTTTGAAATCATCTTTGTCGTCTTTTTTCAGCTTCTCAAGAAAAGTTTGACAAGGAAGTGACATCTTTAAAAGAAACAGTAAGGTAAGGAATGTGATAATGACCTGATGTGCTCAGGAAATTAACCATTTTGATGGATCAACCTTTTAACGTCCATTGTACAAATGAGGAATGAGACCTAAGTAATTGAATGGAGATGGTAATGCACATTTGCATGATATGACAGATCATCTGATTAATAATATGATATGATAATATATATGTTGTTATACAATGTTTAAAATTTGGTTGATTTGCCTCGATCTAATAAATATATAATTAGATATGAATTACATTGTGTAAAGATTGTTGTTTTTGTTGTACCATTATCTATCCATGTATAGTTTGTTATCTTTATTATTTTCTGGACAACTGCTGAAGGTGGTAAATTGGCATAGTTGGAGTTGCTTGAGTAACTGTTTTATTGGTGTATCTTATCACCTGGATGTCTAACCTTCACCGACGTTCCTTAAGCTTCCCGTGTGTTTCCCAGTACCCTGACCTCAGCCAACGCTGATCTGGAGACCAGATGTGTGAAGCTGTCTGGACAGAGAGGCGTGCCTGCAGGGGGGGCAGAAGAGAGGTAGGGGGAGCTTTTCTTGTTTAGGACTCCATCTGTGTGGTGTGAAAGTAAGTGCTTCTTTTTTAGTGTCCACCATTCCATCATTTTTAGTGTCCGCCAAGTTGTTTTATTCTCTGTAACGTTACTTCATCTTTTCTATTTAACTAATAGCTTGCATGCTTCTGTATGGCCTGAAATGCTTAAGAAAACTGAAAAAGTTTCAGAAATATTCCTGATCCCAGGTGGTTTCTTTCAAAGAACACAGCAGTTCTCCTTTCTCCTTGTACTACAAAATACAAGTTCATCTTACTGATCCTCCATCTTACCTCTACTCTCCAGCCATGTCTGTCCATCACCAGTAGTAACCAGACAGTAAGTAGCAGATTTAGTTAGTTGTAAATATCGTCTGGTGCTGTCTGTATTGAATACGTTGATGAAGGTTAGACATCCAGGCAAACTGTTGTGTGAGAAACATATCATTGTGTTGCTCAAGGAACCTGATTTGAATTGGGCCATTTCTCTGAATTACAGCCCTCCCTTGACATCATCCTGTGGTTCTCACCTTTTGCATGCTCAGTTTTTCTTATATTTTAGTCTCCTACCCTACCAATTTCGTCATTTTCTGTTCAAAATTTGGTGCATCACTTTGGAACCCTTGAATTTCATTTTTTTCTTCTGACTTGTAACCTTGGATATGTTCGGGCATGTATATGTTTTGCATTAGTTACAAATTCACTGCCAACAGTTACAGAACCGATTCATTCCCAACTCTGTACAGTTCGTTAATGGTAATCCCCTCCCCACTGAAGATTTGTTAAGGCTGGTCCGAGCCTTTGTTATTGATAGACCTGACTTTGGCAGTGGATTACTCTCCTGGTGTTTGTGGGGTTGGCACTTTCCTGCTAATGTGGTAAGCTGATGGATTGACCTGCCAAACGGTGCTTTTCTCCAGCGAGCGAACGGTGGAGGGCAGCCCAAGTCAGGAGGAGAAGGCAGAGGAGGAGTGGTCACTGGAGTCTGGTATGGACTGATGGTTCTGTGGAAAATATTGGTTTTGCTTGTAGTTTAAAAAGAATGAGTGACCACAAAATATACTTGCATCTACTATTCTAAGATTCAGAGTTGAAAATACGAATCTAGTGTGGAAAAACTTCTGAAAAGAGGTTTTGCTTCTAGTTTAAAAAGAACTAGTGATGACAAAATATAGTTGCATCAATTATTTTAAGATCCATAGTTAGAAATAAGTATCTAGTGTGGAAAAACTTGTGAAAAGAGGTTTTGCTTCTACATTTGTAGTTTAAAGAAAACTAGTGATGACAAAATATACTGTAGTATGATTCAGAGTTGAAAAATAAGTATCTAGTGTGGGAAAACTTGTGTACAGAGTGTCTTTTGCTGTAAGTACTTCTTCCAAAGGCATAACACATATATTAAGAGAATATACGTGTACTCATGATAAATTGGGGCATGAAATTGAGTAAGATATGTTGAAATTAAACATTTTCAACTTTACAACAGGCTAAACATCTTAGCTTTGTAGTTGTAAAATTTAAGCTTTGTTCAATGCAACAATGCAAACCCTCACCATGAATTGTCAGCTGATCTTGGCAAATTCATGATAAGTGTTTCTGTTATGTTAAAACAAAGCTTGAACTCTATAACTACATGTATGTACTACATCACCTTTTTATGCCATGACTCCAGAGTTGTCCAGATTACTAGACAGAGAACTGACCAAGTTCCTGTCAGAAGTGCAGAGCCCTGGTGAGAGTGACCCCAGCAGTGGTGAGCACATTTGTAATGAATGTTAGAAGGAAGGAAGGAATGGTTTATTATGATTCTTATTAGGCCACACTGACTTTTAAGTCAAAATTTTATGGATGACATCCTCTGAAGACCCCCAAACTGGTGCACACGGTCGAATAAAAAAAATTCCAACAATGCTGCTAAACCACAGGGATTCAAAGCTGGTACCGGTATTGTGAATTTGCGGTAGTACATAGCGACTTTTATGACAAGTTGGCACATGCTGGCCTTTTGTGGCATTTATATGAGTTGGCACTGTACTGTTCTTGAGTTCCGTGCATGTACGTGGAGCTTCATTAGCCTAGGTGCTGTCCTCTGTAGTTACTGCCAGCCTCACACTGTCCCTGGCTGACATAAACTACGGAGGATGGCACCCGGCCAGAGCCTTGGAGGAGGTCATTTTTTTTTTCTTTTTTTCAGAACAGTCGAAAATCGATGCAAGCGGCAATGTCATCCACAAAATTAAATCAGTGGGGCCTTATTAGTAGCGAAAAACAAATGACAGACACAGGTTGAATTGCATACATTTGTACAGATGTTATAAAACTGAATGTTAAGATATTTAAAAATTATCGTTTGTACAGATTAAACATCTTGACCATAAAATCACAATGTAATACTAACTTAATACAGGTAAATTTTAGTACATATAAGCTTGGTAGTTACTGCAAATTTTAAGGACCTTAACTATGGCATTGTCCACTACAGATGCAGCCTTACAGGAAAAGCTGACGAGCCTAAGAGAACAGCTGATTCCAGAAATCAAGAGCAGTGTGACACGAGCCGGGCCAGTTATAGGTTAGTACATGGACAAATGTACAGTCAAACCTGCACTAAGAGCCACTTTTGCAGTTTTTGCCACTCCTTCGTGGTTGCTTAGACTATTTTCCCAACTGACCCAAGCATTAAGAATCCCGTCTGTCAACTGTACACTTGTCCAGTGTGACCATTAACTTCAAGTTCCTTGATTGGTCACCGGTAGTTCTGTGTGCCAGTTTGCTGGAACTAGTTCAAAATTCCGGACTTCATGTAAAATGTTTAGGTTCAAGAAAAAAAAAACTCAGCATCCAGAACTAGTTCTAGGCTGCCCAAATAAATCATGTCACGTTCCCCTTTTTGTATACACATGTATGCCCTGAACCTAAACCTGTGGACTTGAATCCAGACCTGGACCTGAACGTGGGTTTAGGTACACAGCACTAGTAACCGCAGACATGTTTCAAAGTGAATGTAGTTTAGAAACAGTAACAGATCATGCTACTGTGTTTTTCTTTTTGAATGTCCTCTGTGTTATCCAGGTGTCATTTTTCGCCATACTCATTGTATTCCTCGTGTGTTTCAGATGGAGTTTATGTTCACAGTTCAGGAAGCTCGGTTGTGGACCTTCTCAGACAGGTAACACCTCTCTGGATGTCTCACAGATGAAGTACCAGTATAGAATACAAGACTTAGTTTACTTTTCTCTCATGGATAAGTTGAATCACTAGTGGACACCAGATCAAGAGGTCATAGGTCTGATTTTGGCAGTTCCTGGCTAGACGTTGTGTCCTTGGGAAAGCCACTTTACACAACCTTCCTCACTCCACCCATGTGTAAAATGGGTGCCTGACTTCAGTTGGGGAGGTAAAAGGCAGTGGAAAGAGAGGGATGGGCTCCACTTCCAATGCTGTGCCGTAGACACAGTGGATTAACAACCCACTGCCCCTACAGGCTGAAAAAGACTATGGGACAACCATTACCCTTTTTATTGTTAGATAAGAGTTTTATGACCTTTCATGTATCTGTTTTATATTGATCATCTCTGCAGAATTTGTGGTTTCTAAGGTGGAAATATTTTGTTTTTGATGCAGTTTTTTGCAGTATTTGTCATTAATCCTTTAATATGTTATTCTCTCATCCCAGACAGAGGAAAAGTGTTCTCAGTTAGAAAAGCAAGTAGAAGAAATGAGCGGTAAGATTTTCTATATTGTCTTATTACTAGATTACTAAAAAAGAAAATGGGAAGGTGTTTTACAGCCGCTACAATGTATATACATCGTGAAGCTGTGTAATGTATTAGATATTATAGAACTTTATTGACACAACAAAAAGTACAGCGACTTTATATGAACTTTCACATCTGTACTGAATTTTTTCCTGTTATTTAACCATCAATGTATTGTTTGTTCCTCATATTTAGATCTACAAATAAGGGTTGACACAGAAAGAGAGGAAAAGACAATACTGAAGGAACAGATACAGTCTTTAGAGGTCAGCTCAAATCAACAGATCTGCTCGGAGTTGGGGATAGGATTGTTTAAACCATATGATAAGAAATATGTAGATTGCCTGACTCTACATGTATATACAATGTTGCAAATTATGATATTGTAAGTTGAATTAAGATTGTAAATTTTAATCTTACTAGATCTGTTCTGCAGCAAGATAAAAGTGCTTGATCCTTTGTATGGTTCCTGAGTTGCATGTAGCATGGAATTTATCAATTTATTCCATGAATCACCTGCAAATACTTTTCAGTCATGAACTTATATCATTCACTTTCTTACATTTCAGAAATCATATATTGAGAAGTTGTCAAAGCTACAAGATGAAAATTCGAAGGTAAGAAAAATCGTAAGGAATCTTAAACCTGCTTTGTTAGACTATGATAAATTATTGGTATTCTGTGAATGAAGTTCGTGTATGACGGTGTGTAGCTTTATGTTAGTTTGTGATTTATTGATTCTATATACATTGCATTCTACATTTATGATGATGTTTTCACTTCTACAGATTTCAGAAAAATTGAAAAAGAAGCAAGAAAGGTATGTTTGTTTGTTTGTATGTCTTGATTGAAATGAAGTGACTGAATTTATTGACTTCATGTAATTGTTAACATGTTCTTGTGATTACTTACTTGTATGTTGAAATCATAATCATATTTTATGTTTTTACATTCAGCCTTTTGCAATTACAAGAAGAAAAAGAAAAGATGTATTCAGACAACAGGTCTTCACTTCAAGAATTAAAATCTTCAAATGAGGAAGAAGTAAAGGTAAGTTCAACACTAGTACCTTGAAAGGCATTTTCTTGCATTTCAACAGTTATGTACAAATTATGTTTGATTGGCAGTGAACAAACTACAGAAAAACCTTTTCCAAGGAAACTTCTTGGTATTTGTACTTACAATGTATCATCATTTCTTTAAATAGCTTAGTGGCCATCTTATTTTCCCTTGGCTTATACTTGGTATATTGAAAATAGGACTATATGTAGTTTGCACTTGGACACCAACTTCTCTATCCCTTAGATACAAAACTTCTGAACTCTCATATGTATTAGATAATCCTCAGATAAAACAAGAAAGATTTAATGAGAGCTTCCTAATCATGAAGCTGTCATGTACGATGATGAATCAGGCAATAATGGAAAGATAAAAAGATACTCCTAACTGTGAAGCAATTTATACAATAAAGCTATCGTCTGTGTTATGGCAGTCTGATTTCCATATCAAGGCATGGAGCTATTATGACATCTGTGGTGTTAAGCCTTGATGCTTGTAAATTAGCTCCCTTGGGGATCAGTATTCTGTTACAACGTCAACAAAAGGACTAAGAACTAACACCATTGGACTCGCCCTACTCCGTGGAGTGGCTGTCAACACATGTAAACACTTGGGGATTCATATTCTGTTAAACACAGTACATTAGCTCCATGTACCTCGGTAACTATGTACATACAGAAAACTCAACAACGTTAGCAACTCTATTGTTGTATAATGTAATTTCTGAAAACTTGTACATAATTGTAATAATCCAATGCATGTATATATTATTGTAAACTTTTTTTTTCTAATGAGTGCAAAGTGAACCTGATCTTAACATCGTGTATCAATGATTTTCGGCTCAATATAATGTCACATAAATCCCCTCACTTAATTACACATACCCCTATCAAATACATTATACATAATACATAATTACATGGTGCATAATTGTATGAATAAACAGTCAAAAAGTAGAAAAACTCTCAGAGGAGTTCAACAGGAATCTGTTTACTGCAGACTTGAACTTAGTCTTTGGACTGTGTATGAGGGTCTTCAGAAGATGTCATCCACAAGATTAAGAAAGTGTGGCCTAACAATCTACCAAGACTTGCAGGACACTGTCACTGGAGCAGAGAGGAGATTGCGGCCGAGCTGGTACTGTGGACTCCCAAGCATGGGAGGAGAAAGCCCGGCAGACCGGCTGCAACCTACATAGACTGCCTCAGGAGAGACACTGGCCTGGAGGTGGACTACTTGGGTCAAGTGATGGAAGACAGAGAGTGTTGGTCAGCCATTTTGTCTCGAGGCCAGGGACACCAGGACTCGACATAAGTTAAGTCAAGTAAGTCAGGCCTAACAATCTAATTGTCTCCCGCAGGTGATTCTGGATCAGAACAGCAGACTGCAGGAGGATCTGACTACTGCCCAGCGGAGACTGCAGGAGGTGGAGGAGAGGGGGGCGCAGCAGGTCAAGGAACGGGATCTACAGCTGCAGGAACTCACTGCAGAGGTGTGGGCATTCAGCAGTGGTCAAGGAAAGACTGGTTACTTAAGAAAACCATAGACAGGCCCCGCTAATCCTTGCTGGACATATAAACTGCATCTTCCTCAAATAGATAAGGATATGCCCTGCCACAATTCTTGCAACAATTCTGATGTCCATTGCACTATAACACGCAGAAGCGAGGCATGTCCTTGGTGCCGAACTCTCAGAAACGGCCTGTCCTTGGTTCTGAACAGTCAGGAACAGGGCTTGATTATAAATATAATATGTTAGCTGGTCAAATTCCTAACTTGATCATTCGTACATTTCAGTTTTGTCATGCTCTTTGTTGGATATACTGTAAGAAGAGTTTCCGTCTGGAAATGTCCATCTCAATCTGATGCATGATCTCACCATTGCTTGCAGTTGTCTACCAGAAGCACAGAGAGCAAACAGCATGTTCACAACGTGACGACAGAAAATGAGAACTTGCGATCAAGTCTTGCAGCTATGGAACAGGTAAGTATAATTAAATAATGCTGGCAACACACTGAAAATGTTTGCCACAACAGTCAAGGCAGTGACAACACTGCATTTTCCAGGCAAACATTAGTGTCTGTCTGCCAAATAAAGGACTGTTTTTCAACTACTATTGCCTATGTGACCTCCCCATATGATTATGCAGTTATAAAGTCACCATGTCATATTTAATGCATTAATGAATGTCTACTGTAAAAGATCAATCATTGCAACAAAGTATAAACATATATTAACAATCTTAGATCTGAAAATGGAATTACATCAGCATCACTGTGCTTTCTGCCATTGAAGAAGAAAACTGTCCCAGTGCAAAATTCTCTTTTAGATTATCAGTGACAAGAAATTAGACATTGGAAAAGGCTGTAAGTTGTATTCATGTAATATAGAGATATTTTGTCAAGTGATATGTTATATTTCAACACTAGTGATAAAGTAGTCATGTTGTAAATGACACCACCACAATATTGCTTTGTAGCCATCTTACTGTAAAAAGTAACAGTGAAAGCATTATAAAAAGCATGAACTGAGAGGACGAAAGTGTACAGCATTGATGGCCAGGCCAGCTGCTCTTAGTCTTAGAATTAATCAAGGAACACATGTAGGAAACAAGTTCTAACTGCAAATTCCAACACAAGAAATTGGACTTACCCAAATTTCGACTGTACAACTCCAGTCTTTGTCAAGGAATGAGACTGGAATAGTACAGTTGAAAATTTGGGTAAGTCCAATTTCTACCAACACAGCTGAACTTCCAAGATAAGTAACACATGTAAATTCTTGTCACAAGTCTATACTGCAGGTGTGAGTGTTACAAAGTTTTTTTATGTTTTTACATACGGGATTGCGTGGGCTTTTGTTTTAATTTCTTCCCCCACACCACAGATACAAGGTTCCAGACGAGAGGAAATAGATAATTTGCAGGTGGGTAGCGTTAGTCGGATCCCCGTTCATTTTGCGAGTCACCAAAAGCTGATGAGAAGCCGGTGATCTGTACCGATAATAATTTCTGCCTTTGAATTTAAGTATGGTGTTTAGGCAAATTCGAAATAGGCGCAGTACTCATTATTGTACAATTTTGAGAAAGTCCTAATTATAGCGTAGGGCCTTGCCATTGCTTCAAGTGACTGAACATCAAAAGGCAAAATATAAAGACATCTCTGATGTATTGTTGGTCCATAGAATATAGTATTCAGAAACAAGCAGTAAAAGTTTTTAGTCTCTTTTGTAAAAGGGGAAAAAATTACAAAAATTACGCAGAACTATACACTTTCTTCAGAACTGTACGTTTCTTCCTTCTTTTCTCCTCCCTCAAGGTTTATACACAGAAACTGGGCCTTTCCTTGGTGCTGAAACAGTGTTCTGTTCCTGAACAGTGGCTGAACAGCCTGACGGGTGACCTGCAGGCCATTCAGAACTACTAGTACACGTGCCTTTCCTCTCTTCTCTTTCCTCTCTCTACATGGCAAATAGAAGCTTATACTTAGAAACCGGGCCTTTCCTTGGTGCTGGAACAGTGTTCTGTCCCTGAACAGTGGCTGAACAGCAGCCTGATGGGTGATTTGCAGGCCACACAGAACTTTACACTCCTTTCCTCTCTTCTCTTTCCTGTCTCTACATGGCAAATAGAAGCTTATACTTAGAAACTGGGCCTTTCCTTGGTGCTTAAACAGTGATTGTTTTGTCCCTCCCTCCAGCATCTAAACAGCAGCCTGACCAGTGACCTTCAGAACTATACATTCCTGTCCTCTTTTCTCCTTTTCCCTGTCCAAGGCAAACAGTTTATACACAGGAATGGGGCCTGTCCTTGGTGCTGAAACAGTGTTTGCTCTGTCCCTGAACAGCGGCTGCAGGCCATGCAGAACTGTCCATTCCTTTTCTCTTTATACCTCTCTCTACAAGGCAAATAGAAGTTTGTACAAAGAAACAGTGCAGAAACATTGTTCTGTCTCTGAACAGTGTCTGAATAGCAGCCTGACTGGAGACCTGCAGGCCATACAGAACTATACACTTTCTTCAGAACACTTCTTCCTTCTTTTCTCCTCCCTCAAGGTTTATACACAGAAACTGGGCCTTTCCTTGGTGCTGAAATGGTGTTTGTGCTGTCCCCCTAGCGACTGAACAGCAGCCTGATGGGGAACCCACAGGCCATACTGAACTATACTCTCCTTTCCTCTTCTCTACAAGCCACATACACTGATGTACATGTATCAAAAGAGATGTTAAGCATTTGTTTTGTCCCCCCAGCGTCTGAACAGCAGCCTGACCGGAGACCTGCAGTCCATGCAGACGGCGCACAACCAGCTGGTTCAGGAGAGGGACGACCTGCGGTGCCAGCTGCAGGAGGGCCAGGCCGCCAACAGCCGGCTGCTGGAACAGCTGCAGCAGACAGCTGAGGAACGCGACCAGCAGATGCAGGCACTCAACGAGGCAAACAGGGTAAGTCATTGTTTCATTTTGAAGTAAGATACTTTATAGATGTTTCTTTATTTATTAGTTATTTAATTCTTATCATTATTTACTTATCAGTTCGTGGTAAATTATGTTCAATTTCTAATTAGGGAGGCTCTATGTGAATGTTTGTTTATTGTGAAAATGAAAAAAAACAATGGGTAAGTCAGACTGAGACTCTTTGTTCTCTGGCATTGTTAAGGAAGTAGTATTTTCACTGACTTTAGTTCTGCACATAAAGAACCCAACTCACTTATCGAGAAGAGTGGGATGACCAGGTGTGCTGGGTATAAATGTGAGCTACATCACAATCAGTCTAAGACTTTCACCAAGTTTGATGACATTTAGATAAGTAATACACAAGTTATGCTGCTTTGTTCTCAATTCATGGCTCATTTGCTTAATTTGCATAAATTTGCATAAAGAGCCCTAAAACCATGATGTCCCACCTGGACCATAGTACTAATTATCTTAAAATGATCAGGAGACATTAACTTAAAGGTATCATTCTATGGCACTGACCAAAGTATGTACAGGGTGGGTTACGTTTCTCATTTTCTTGGCTTCTTCAGAGAATCTCCTCCTAGACCTAATATAAGGATAAGGGTGTACAAATTATAAAATGGACCATAAACGAACAACACAGCCCATACACCATGATTTGGACACTTTCAAGTCTTGCATCTGTACTCCATCTTGTTTCTTGTTTTCGATATCTACCTCTGAAGGAATAGAAGTTTCTATCTACTGTTCTGCAGCATTTTGACATCTGTTGCATGTGTCTCCCCGTGTACCATTTGCTTTGGCATTTTGTGTGCAGTTGAATTATTGTTGTGTGACTTCTTTGACCCCCTCTTGCCATTATCCATGATCCTAGAGACTACAAAGGGACAGTTAAGGAAGACTCTTACACAACATGTTAGTCCTTGTGCTGAAATTCATAATACTTAAGCTGGAAATGATGCTTTATCCGCTCATATTTTAAGGAAATTACCCATAACATGGTGAAATACGACCCAATTATAAAATGCCTTGGGGAGGAAATCCTGGGTTCCAGCAGCCTCATTTCTTGTTTTGTTAATGATCTCTGTGTAAGGATACCATAAAACATGAAATAAAGAACATTAACTGTTAACTACATTTAGGTTAATTTTTATTGCAAAGATACGTTGGAGTGATACACATTAATGGGAATATGAATGTGCCCTGCATTTTGAACTTAAATACCTGCATTTACTGTTTTGGAACCAGGTATTAACTAAGTGGACCAAATGATCTTACTTACACATACACAGTAAGACACACAATTATATACACATTGATACACAGACACACACACACACACACACACACACACACACACACACACACACACATACACATATGCACCAGCATACATGTTGTACTCGGAGGCACATACCCATATACTTGCACATACATGCATGCATCCACGTACGCATGCATGCACGGCTCTAGGCTCCATATCCACACATCATGGAACAAGTTTCTGTCCTTAGAATGCACAGCAAGATCTGAAGTCAACTACCATACAAAATTATAGTGATAAATTAAAAGCTTGGTATATACATGCATTGTACATTTGTACCATCATGGAGAAACTTCAAGACAATGTGGGACAGCTGTTACCAAGGCTGTTAGATTGAGCGTCTAAAGCATTTATAAGCCTCACTATATAGTCTATGGGAGAGTTTTCAAGTCTTCCTGTCCTGCATTTGACTGTCTGGCCTCTGAGAAGTCCATGAACGTGGGAGTAATCAATCCATTGCTGGCAGAGGCAGTTGCCCTTTGAATTTGCGGCACTTGGGAATGTAACAGGCAATTTAATTGGGTCATAAATGAATAATACTGCATGAATCGGTGGGGATGCCAACATTACATTCATTGCCACATGTTCCTATGGTGGTATTATGGGAATATATCCAGACTTTTAAGTGTGAATTTGCAGGAAGTATTTCCAAATTGCAGAACAAAATTCTGACATTCTGCAATATTGTACAACAGTTGAAAAAAATTATTTCTATCACTGTGACTGCAGCAGTAGAAATATCAAAATTTATTTCTACTTTTTTTCAGTGTTGTACAATATTGCAGAATGTCAGAATTTTTGTTCTGCAATATGGAAATACTTACTACAAATTCACACTTAAAAGTCTGGATGTAAACCCATGGCATATATAAAATTGCATGTTGCTGGACATTCAAAATTACATGACTGTATAATTACAGTAGCAAATGCAAAAGCTCTAAAACACCATTCAACCTCTAGTCTGATTTTTTTTCAAGCCTGCAAAATTGCAGGTAATAGTTAATTTTTCTTCTGCAGTATTGAAAATGTCTCTACAAAATGCAGACTGCAGATGAGTACTTCTAACACTGATTCATGATATTTGTCCATTCTTGGACATGGAAGTGTAGGGTATAAATGTTTTGTTCTAATTTTATCTCTGCACTAGCCTTATAGATCTTTGATTATGCCTGACACTTCATTTATTCTTTTGTGTAATGACTTAGTACAAACTTTGCTAATTTATTCAACAAAAACCAAAACGTTCCTAGTGAATTCTTTCATCAGTGACAACTTTGGAAGGATAAGGATACTAACCTCCAAATTTTCGATGGCTATCAGTCCATCTTGTTCACGGAGTGGCCTAATCTCGCGAGAGCGCGAGACTAGGCCCGAGACTTGCATCGGTCTGTCGGGGTCCCACCCCCCGTCGCCTCCCTCCGAAG